CTGTGGCAAAAGACAAACAGTTATAAATCACCTAGTGATTTGGATCTTGCATTAACAAAACCATAGAATCCAAAGTATTTCCTGTGTTTGTAAATCTTAAGTCAGTAATATGAGTCTTCTTTAAAGATACTTTACTTATAAGTTGTTTGCAATTCTCTAGTTTTCCAAATGAATTATGGCGCTTTCAATAAAATGAAATATTCTGTAACAAAATATATTACAAAACACAAGAGGAAACATTAGTTTATCTCTCAGCTGGATTCCTAAAATGACCAAAACTGAATTAAGATAGCTTTGCCCAGACAAGCATATCTAACTCTGCAAAATAATTGGAACTTCTTTTCTCTGAAACTGACTGAAATTTTATCCAAAACAGCTTAGTACACTTAATTCAAAGTGAAGAACTAATTGTATTTACATTAGTCCTATGATGCTCTTTGGGATTTTCTTTTCCAACAGGTGAGGGATCACCACTGAAGCCAGTGTCATTCTTGGCACTCGTGGCTGTTTGGATTTTACCCTATTCCATGTCTTCCAAAACAGATCTCACATGTCTTTAACTAGTGTTAAGATACTGTTGTAGGAATTTAGTCAGAACTGTCTATTAGCAGTAAAGACACTATTCCCTGTGACAATTAATAAAAAGATGCACAGTTCAGGAATGCATCATTTAATCTAATGCCTGATGATCAGATTTATGATCCACTGAGTAAATTCACTGGACACAGCTTCTGTATAAGTCAGGGGCATTGGCTGAGATCAGAACCAAAGAGATTTTAATTAAAGGAAGATTTGAATCCTCAGAAATACATTCCTAATCTAAATCTAATTACATGTCTATAATTGCAACAGATTGCTTTGTAAACTTTTCCAAGTGATAGGAAATGAGTGATAGTGAACTTCAGTATAATGATCAAAAATTTCCCATTCTGACAGTCCTGAGCTGTGTCATCTTGGAGAAACGTGATGAGAACTCATGATTTTTAAAAGGAGAATCAGGCAAACAGCTATATTCATTAATATGCAAGCAATTGCACTTACACCTTGTGCCTGTTTCATGTAGTCTGTTTTTCTAAAATATTTCATTATTTAAGTTTGCCTCTTCCATTTTGTTGCTTGACATTTTTGTATGGTAAAGGATGTGTGGTATGCTATAACTTTAGAGCCATCCTAAAAACAAGCAGCTGCCAAATCAATTAACGTGAGTATATAAAAACTTGTATAGTTGTGTCTTGATGGTGAGACATCATCTTGTATTATTGTTTGATGTGTCAGCAGATGCCTTTTAGGAATATCACTACTCTGCCTTTGACCAGCTAGTTATTGAGCTTTTAAGTATAGGATCTGCTATAGGACCTTCTTAGGGCATTTCACAGTTCTGTGCATGTGGACAGCACTACCATGCCAAGTGACAGTGCAGGGGGTCAAGCTATTCTAAGTAGTCTTTCCTAAGTGAAAATGCTAGTGAAAAAGAAAGTGATTCTGCTAATTGGCAAACTGTCATTCGTATCAATACTTCCTGAAAGCTCTCTTGGTTATTATAAGAGCAATCTGTGATTTTTAGCTTGTTCAGTGAATTATGTGGTCAGGACTAAAGGGAGGGCTGGGGCAGGGGACATCATAGCGGGGGTCTGCTACAGGCCACCTGACCAGGGGGACCAAGCAGATGAAGCCCTCTATAGGCAGATAGGAGCAGCCTCACGCTCCCAAGATCTGGTCCTTATGGGGGACTTCAACCACCCTGACATCTGCTGGAGGGACAATGCAGCTGAGCGCAAGAAATCCACAAAGTTCCTGGAATGTGTCGATGACAACTTTCTCCTCCAAGTGATAGAGGAGCCCCCGAGGAGAGGTGCCATGCTGGACCTTATTCTCACCAATAAGGAGGGCCTGGTAGGGGACATCAAGCTCAAGGGCAGCCTTGGCTGCAGTGACCACGAAATGGTGGAATTCAGGATCCTCAGGGCAGCGAGGAGGGCACGCAGCAAGCTCACTACCCTGGACTTCAGGAGAGCTGACTTTGGCCTCTTCAGGGATCTTCTTGGTAGAATACCATGGGACAAAGCCCTGGAGGGAAGAGGGGCTCAAGACAGTTGGCTAATATTCAAGGGTCACCTCCTCCAAGCTCAGGAGCGATGCATCCCAACAAAGAGGAAGTCAAGCAAAAACACCAAGAGGCCCCCATGGATGAACAAGGAGCTCCTGGGCAAAGTCAAACAAAAAAAGGAAGCCTACAGAGGGTGGAAGCAAGGGTATTTCATTTCATCAAGAAAATGTTAAAATATCATTGTACAAAGCTGTCCTCCCACTCACTTTTTCTACACTGTTATGCAGTTTACTATGCCTCTCGGTTATGCTAATAGAAACATTTTCAAGCCAAACAAATTGTATCACTGAAAAATTTTTGATATGAAAATAGCTCTGTTTCAAGTTAATTTTTATTCCAAGATGGAACTTTCTTCTGTCGGTTTTGCAAGTTTCCAATTAATCAATGTAATCAATCTTCCAACATTGTTTTTTACCACTTTATAATGCTTCTGTGAAGGCATCTGTTGCCACAAACCACATAAAACAAATAATGCCAGCAATAATAACAATTAATGTAAAAACAACTTGAATTATTCTGAGCATTTCTAACCCATTAATCAGATTTTAGGATAAAGAATGGAAACTACTCTGGACATGGGCAGAGTATGCACTTTCATTTCAGAGCACAAATCTACATCTGTTAACATGAGACTATTTAAAAAATACCTTCTCTGGGGATTTTGAACAGATCGTCTTAGTTTTTAAAAGATTTCTGTGCTAGAGAATTTTTGTAGAAAGCACGTCCCTGTGCAATTATTGCTTTGTAAATTAATTACTTTCTGCTGTCTATAGAACAGAATTTCACATTCTGTGATTCACATTCACAATCATGAAATGCTGTCTCAGCTACATGCCATTGCAGATTTCTTTCTGTGAAGTATAGTTCTTGGATAAGATGTTGGACTAAATATGAAATGGCTTTGTCTCCTACAACTGCCTTCCAGTTGGTTTGGCTTAAACATGCACTAGCTTCTGAGGAAAAAAAAAATATATATTAGAAATAAATCCTTGATATAGAAACAAAGTCTTTTAATAAAAGTGTAATGTACACGAGGGAAAGCCCTTGTGAGTAACATTAATGCTCCAATATTCATTTCTGTTTTGAAAAGCACTCTTGTTTGCATGTGTTGCTGGAAATTGCTGGTGATAGTAGTCACACCATCCATTGTAACTGCATCTGAGCCTCACCTTTGTTTCAGTTGCTTTAGACACTGAAGCTATAGCATTTGTAGATCAGCTGAATATGTAACAGCGTGATTAATGATACTTTTCTAAAATATTCCACAGTGACCACAAAAACAATTTCAATTAAGTGTTGTTGAAGTTCCCTTTTTGCCATTCTAAGTGCTCTTAATAGATAAAAGTTAATTGAGGTTAAGATAACATTTAATTAATTCACTATGATAGTGTTGTAGTGTCGTATCTATTCAAAGAGATATGAGGTCCATTGAAGTGGTCATATTTGGACTACAAATGAGAAGTACTGGGAATATGTGTTTAAACTTGTGAGATAATAGGCACGTTTATTTTCTCTGACTTACTAGTTGAGTTGAAAAGACCCCTTTCTATCTGACAGCTGTGTAGAAGAGACCTAGCATGTGCAGACCTACCTCTGTGTGGCACACACAGAAATTATGTCTGTGTGTCCATACAGAGATAAAAATATTTCTTTTCATATTTAGTTCTCTGCAGTGAAGTTATTTATTGGACATTGATAAGGAATCTGATCCTTCTGTCAAGCGAAGAACTGAAAAATACTTTTGTCTAGGAAACCGCGGGCTTAAGAATTCATAAATCAAAACTGTAGAGGCAAAATCTAGCTGTAAATGCACATTTTAGATTAAAAAGCATAAAATTCTCAATAAAAGTTTGTAAGTAGTGAATATTAATACATACTTACAACTATATAAAAAGGTGGAAAAGGCGGGCTTTTAGTTAAAAGGAATAAAAATCACTGCTTTACTTAACTACTTAATTAAGACTGGAGAGTGGTGTTGGTAATCCATCTGATATATCAGTGTGTCATGTCCTTTCTTGTGATTATTACAAAAATGTAGTGGGGCATCTCAAGTTCTCTGCTTTGGATGTGAAACTGGCTGCAGTCCTCTTCATTTGCAAGGAGTATACAAAAAAACCATTTCCCTGGATAAAAAGGAATCAAACAACAGATTGGTTTTGCTCACAGCTTTAAAATCTTTTGCAAGGCAATACCTTCACAAGCCTCTATTTTGGTTATTCCTATGTACCTTTTCCTAGTATTTTTATGTGTCCAGGGGTTTTTTTGTTCCCCACCTACTTTGTGGTGTTTGCCACTCTTAAATGCACACTTTGTGGTTCTGCCAGTCAATCTATGAGCCTCTGGAAATTCTTTGTGCAGAATACTTTGGGCAATAGCCTTTTTTATCTTGGCTATTAAAAAATAAATGGAAACTTAACCACTTCTTCATTCAGAGCAAACAGCATAGCAGCTGTTAGGCCCAATAACTTCAGTGTATAATCCAAAACAGAACAAGAAATGTTCCTTACTTGTTCAGTATTTATTGTGTAGAGTATAAAAGTTCTGCCTCAGCAGACAATTTTACCCGCATTTAGTTTCAGCACAATGAAGAATTTAAGAATGTATTTCGCTAAAGTGTGGACATGCACTAAAAATCAAGTCTCTATTGATCTTCTTTGCTGACCTGGCTGTCTTTGCACTGGGTATGTTTTTTGATATAACAGCCAGGTATGGTCTGTCATACAATCTAAGTTGGATAGACAGTCTTTGTCCAAAATTTCTGAAGATTCTTA